TTCTCTACATTTTGTATGTTTTTAGTAGAGATAAGGTTTTCACCATATTGGTCAGGGTGCATGGTATTCGATACTCCTGGACCTTAGGTGATCCAACACCGCTCTCTCCAGCGCTATCACCAAAGTGTTATGGGATTGACAGGCATGAGTGCCCGGCCCCAATTACTCTTCATATCCAGAAGCAAGCACATTGATCTGTTCTTTTCCAGTAGGTGTGAAATACGCACCAACACCTGGCCCTGTGCAGGGCTACGGGTGCCCGTGGCTTGGAGGGAGAGGCAGCAATCATTGGACACTGGCTCCCCTCTCCTCTTCTTTCCTTTCTGAAGAATTTTCAGTTGTGTCCTGGACTGGTTCCCCAGACTACATACATCCAGACACATAGAGCACATAGAGTCAAATGCCCTGACCTGCTTCTGCAGGGTTTCAAAGACCAAGGATATGAGCATCCGTTTTACATGATGTGTGCAAATTTATATATAATTTATCTGTTTATATATAAATTATAAAATATATTAGAAATACACATATATACATATATACACATTTTGTATATATTATATATATATTTTTGTATATTTTTTAATATTATATTTATGCACATATAAACATATAAAAAATTTGCACACATTATGTGTGTGTGTTTGTGTATATACACACACTATATATCCAGATATATATACATATACATATATGTATGTATATGTATATATATGTAGGCCATAGAACCAAGGTCATAATTAAAAGAGCCCTCAGCTGGATGTCAGGTCAACCTCAGTTTGAATCCAGTCTCCTCCATAAACTGATCCCTCTGACTCTGGGCACCTCATAAGAACTCACTACACAAATTTCCTCTAGTATAAATTGAGGCTAAAAACATCTCATAGTAAAGCTGGGAAAGGGGAAGGAGAGGGGCTGGGCATTCAGTGAAACCCCTTTTGTAAATGAGAGAGCACCGTGCAATTTGCGATGTTCCTGTTAGTTTTACACAATGTTGTGGCTAGGAGACAGATGTTCCCAAACCGTAAGTCCTGCAGTGTCCTCCACACAACGGCCAGATAGCTCTTGCCAGAGCAGCAGTCAAGTCACCTCTTTTCTTCTTTGAAGCTAATCAATGGCATGCCATTATGTGTAGATTAAAATCTGAACTTTTTCAAAGGCCTCTGGGGCTTTGTTACCCCAGAACCTCATCTCTGGCCACTCCCCATCTCATACTCTATCCTGACGCCTTTCTGTTTCTGGAACCCCACCCTTTCTCATGTCTCAGGGCTTCTCGAGTTGGGGCTCCCCTCTTCCTGGATTCCCACTCTCCCTCCTTAATTCCCATCTCTGTTCTTCCAGAATCTGTCCCTCTCCACCTCTGGCCAGCAGCTGCCTGCGTCTTACCCTGAAGCTCCTACTAAATGCCCTCTTCTCAGGGAAGTCTTCCCAAGACCTCCATGCAGAGGCCCTGCCTGGGAATCTGTCTCCTGACAGCAGCTCTCTCCTTGACGGCAACTATTCTAGGTTCTGAGTGCACCCTCGCTGGGTGTCCTCTTTTTCATTTGCTGCTTCCCCACCGGACTGCCAGCTCCATGAGGCAAGGGTTAAGTTCATTCCCTTCTCATCCCCAGGGGCCTCATGCAGGGTCTTGTCGCTCAAGAGGAAACTGAACAGACTCGTCAATCCTTCACAAAGTGGACAAGATTTATTTTCTTTTGAAAACTTAAGCTGCCCTCTAGTGGAAAATGCAAGCCAAGATTCCGGCCTGGCTTTTTTTGTTATTGTTTTCCAATCAAAACTAATGATTTTTGTTATCCAAAATTATAAGACTCTCCAATCAGAGTGGCAGAGACCTAGCGTCTCTCCTCTCCCTGCAGCCTATGGCAAGGTAGGCCACCTTTTTCTCCTACAGAAGACGCTCAGGCCCACCCAGGCTCCGTACAACTGCAGATGGAGAGACAAGCTTCACCCCAATGGGCCCCCTCCTAGGACTGGGGCTCCCTCCCTCCCTTTCTCTGCTGTTTAGAATATGCACTGTCTGTCCTGGTCCGTATCTGCTCTCAAAGCATTCACATGAGGATCCAGTAACAACTTACAGTGGGACCCTCGTTTCTCAGGGGGTCAAAGCCCATAGCAATTTCTGTTCTTGGGGAAGCTGATAGTCTGATTTGGAGGCAGAGGACCCCAAATACAGGCAGCCTTCACCGACCCTGACTCAGGCAGTGATACTGCTGATGAATCTGTGATTACTGCAGGCAGCTGGGTACAGAGCCTCATGGTCCAGGCCCCCGGCGCTTGACTCTTAAACCCGAGCCATTTGGCTAATGACATAGTGATATCACATTCTATAGCAGAGAACAGTATGTTAGTTTTTCCCATTACTAAGTCGGGCTCAGTTGTAGGTGCTAGCAATACAAAAGATAACAGGACATGTTTCCTGCCTTGAAAGAACTCACAGCCTCTGACACAATGTAACAAGTGGACTAAATCTCAGAAATTGCAAACTGGTGGTCTATAGATAGGTTTATTTGGCTGGCATGGTATTTAACATTTTTGAAACCTGTTGCTCACATTTTCTTTCTTTCTTTTTTTTTTTTCTTTATGAGACAGAGTCTCACTCTGTTGTCCAGACTGGAGTGCAGTGGCGCGATCTTGGCTCACTGCAACCTCTGCCTCCTGGGTTAAAACAATTATCGTGCCTCAGCTTCCCAAGTAGCTGGGATTACAGGCACCCGCCACCATACCTGGCTAAATTTTTTTGTAATTTTAGTAGAGATGGGTTTTGCCATGTTGGCCAGGCTGGTCTGGAACTCCTGGCCTCAAGCAATCTGCCTCCCAAAGTGCTAGGATTACAGGTGTGAGCCACTGAGCCCGGCCTGTTGGTCACATTTTAACATGGAGATTGCTTAAAAAACCTTGATTTCTGACTTTTCTTGAAAGGTCACCCTAACAACACCGGGTTCACTGCACATACACTAGCGGCCACTTCCCTGCTTGGTATCAGCCTGGCTTTTTGGGGCATTTAAGTTTGCGACTCCTGTATTAGGGACAGTGAGAGGGGAGCAGTTAATTGTGGAAATGGGTAGGGTAGGTGAAGGCTTCTCAGAGGACGACTTCCCAGAGGCTGTCCCAGCAATGGGAGTGCCAGACGGTTGGGGCCCACACAGGCTGTGGCAGGGAGGTAGGATGCAGCTGAGGCATCTGCGCTGGAAGAAGGGCTGTGCTGGGATCTAGCTTTGCAGCACAGCGAAGGTGAATCACAAGCAAGAACCCACATCAAGTTTTCCACCCGGGATGTGAAAACCAATAAAGCCTCAGGAGAGAGGTCAGTTCAGAAGGGCTTTGCTTCAAATGTGAATGATGGGGGCTGGGGATCTTGCCACAGAGAGATTCTGATCTCGCAGGTCTGGGGTTGGGGTGGGAGAGACTGCATTTCCAACAAGCTCCTGCTGGTCCCTGCACTGTGCCCTGAGTAGTTTGGGCTTAGAATGGAGGTTGCAGTCTGGTGGGCCATGGGACAATTTGGCCTGAGAAATAAAATTTTTCTGGCTTGTATAGTGTTTAAATTTTAAAAAAATTAGTTGCTAAGTTTAAAATCAGGTGTTTTGCATAAAAGTCTGAATTTGTCTCCCCCATCATTTTCTATTACACTGCTACATTTTTTTTTTTTTTTTTTTGAGACAGGGTCTCACTCTGTGGCCCAGGCTGTAGTGCAGTGGTGTGATCTCAGCTCACACAACCTCAGCCTCCCAGGTTCAAGCGATTCTTCTGCCTTAGCTTCATGAGTAGCTGGGACCACAGGTGCACGCCACCAGGCCCAGCTAATTTTTCTATGTTTAGGAGAGATGGGGTTTCACCATGTTGGCCAGGCTGGTCTCGAACTCCTGAACTCAAGTGATCTCCACTTCAGCCTCCTGGAATGCTGGGATTACAAGTGTGAGCCACCACAACGGGCAAACGTATTTAGTTTAATATTTTGTTCTTAGTGGAGTTTGCAAAAGCATAGGTATTTAGTCTTTGATCCTGTTGCCTCCTGTTCCTTTCCAAGACTTTTCCCAGAAGCAGTAGTTTGAGTAATATATGTATATATTTTTTTAAAAAATTATTTTTTGAGACACGTCTAACTCTGTTGCCCAGGCTGGGGTGCAGTGGCGCAATTTTGGCTCACTGCAACCTTTGCCTCTTGGGCTCAAGAGATCCTCCTACCTCAGCCTCCCAAGTAGCTAAGACCACAGCTGCATGCCACCACACCCAGATAATTTTTTTTTAATTTTTATTTTGTAGAGGTGGGTTTTCACCACGTTGCCCAGGCTAGTCTCAAACTCTTGGACTCAAGTGATCTGCCTGCCTTGGTCTCCTAAAGTGGTGGGATTACAGGCATGAGCCACTATGCTTAGCCTGGTTTGAGTAATATCTTGATGGTTGATGAAATATTTGGTAATTGGATGAGAAGAGAACTGTGTTGTCTCCAGTGATGATGCAAATGGGTGACGAGAAATGCTGCCATTTGTGAGGTTTGTGGGCGGCAAGGTTGAAGAGGAGAATAATGAGAAAGCTAGCGTCGTCCTCAAGGCCTGTTGTTAGTCTTGATTATTGTTTTCTGTGTTTTTACTTCATGGTGCTCAATAAGTATTTGTTCAGTGAGCAAATAAATGTAAGGTTAGATTCTGCACACAACAGTCAAAGAAATCTTGCTTCCTGGAAAAGTTAGCCCAATTAAGTGCAGGTTTCCACAGTCACCCCTCCTCGCTCCATTTTATTTCAGCTGTAAGGGATCGGAGAGACTTTAGCCCAAGGTGTTTCTTCAAAGCAATAAGTGGAAATGTTTCCCCGCATTAAGACTGCACAGACTAACTGTCATGACCAGGATCTTGGTACCCCGTGGACGCATCCCACATGGTGTCCTGGTAACCTGAGCTATCTAGGGCTGACCTCATCATTCTAGCAGGGATGGCCTGGCAGAGACATTAAAGGGTTTCTTCATGGAGTCTGGCTGGTTTCATATCCTGGCTTTGCTGGGTTAGATTGGAGAAGCGACTTAACCTCTTGGTGACTCCATTCGCTCATTTGTAAAATGGTTATAATAGCTTCTGTCTCATAGGATCATTGTGAAGATTAAACAGAACAATCCAGGTAACGCATGCAGGAGGGTGTCTTGCACACAATATGCAGTAAATGTTAGCCATTATGATGGAGATTATAGTGCCTTTGATTAATCCAAATTAACAAATTTACTTACTAAATTTAATTTGACATTCTTTGAAAATATGCGCGCGCTCTCTCCCTGTGTGTGTATTGAAAGACAGAGACTGGTGTTCGGTGGTGAAAAGTTTTGGGCCCACGTAGACCAGCATCCTTTTCAGTTGACGTTGTGCTTTTGGGAGGTGAAATAACTTGCCCAAGGCAATACCCCTAGGAATAGCCCAGATAAGTTTAAATATTATGTTTTTTGACCCTCAACCCAGTGACTTTTCCACTATATCTCATTTCCAGGCATTGCTCGTTCGTTTTTTCCGAAAATCATTCCAAATTATGTCCCAATTCGACTTTCTTCAACTTCATCCCAGAAAAGCAAAGGCCGGGCACTTGAACAAGAACAGCTGTCAGCCTAGGGCGCCGCCGCGGGGTTGGTGGGGGCTGGAGCGGGGCCGGACTCTAATTGGTCCACGGCCTCGGCCCGACTATCAAATCAGCAGAGCCTGCGTCATCACGTCATTGCCTGGGCGACCGTCCGCGGAAATTTGAAATGGCTGACGGATCGCTGACTGGCGGCGGTCTGGAGGCGGCGGCCATGGCGCCGGAGCGCACGGGCTGGGCGGCCGAGCAGGAGCCGGCGTCTCTGGAGAAAGGTGAGCTCTCCATGCCGGGCCCGAGGTGCCGCCTCTGGGCGGAGGCCTGGGGCGTCGGGACCCTCGGAGGGCGCCTGGGTCGCGGGCCTTCCGGACCCGTCTGTCCAGGGCGGCGGGAACGGCGGTGCGCGGCCGGGACCCAGTGACCGGACGTCAAAGTCAGGCGGTACCGGGGGGTCAGGGACTCCCTCTCTTCCCTCTCCTCATCTCCCCCTGTCTTTGCACTCTCTGGCCTCAGCCCGCCCCGAGATTGGAGGGAGCTGGATTGGTCTAGGAATTCCCAATCCAGATGGGTTTTGCGGAAACTGTGCATTTACCGTTGCTCAAGGGGTCATCTTTTTCATCTGCATCTCAAAGGAGATCACGAACCACACTTCCCTTTTCCGAAGAAGAGGAAAGCTTGAACCCTTGGCCTACATGGCTGTCCTGTCCACGGAGGGTAGTGACGTGTCCAAAGTGAGGAGTGCCAACTTGGGCCAGAGTCCAGAAATAGAGCCGGGGTCTCCTAGTTCTCTGCCCTTTCTTCCTCCTCATAGAGTTTCGTGACTATTTTTTTTTTCTGGTATTTTAAGCTGGTTCACGTTTTTACGTTAACACTTTCCGTTGTATTGTGTAGCAGAGTCCCAACAAAGTGAGAAAACAGAAGTGTGACAATTCCACTGTTAACCCACCTCTCCAAGTGGCAAAAGTCACTTGGCTTCAGTTTTCCCATCTGGAAGACTAAGCCAGTGGTTGTACTTGTGGTGAAGATGAAGTGAAATAAAGTTTTTAAAGTGGTTGCAAAAATAAATACTGCATGACATGTCTTATATGGGGAATCTAAAAAAGAGGAAGTTTCAGAAAGAGAGTAGAGTGGTAGTTGCCAGTGGGTGGGGGGAATGGGGAGATGCTGGTCAAAGGGTCCAAAGTTTCAGTTATGCAGCATGAATAGTTCTGGGGATCTGATGTACATACAGCGTGGTGACTATAGTTAATAATACTGTATTATTATTACAGTATTAATAGACAATGACGTGATGATGCAGTGACGACGCAAATTTTGTACTTGAAATTTGCTAACAGAGTAGATCATAAGTGTTCACACCACACACACACAAAAGGTAATTATGCGAGGTGATGGAAATATTAATTCACTTTACTGTGGTAATCATAATGTAAAGGTATATCAAAACATCACGTTACACACTTTATTTTTTATTTTTATTTTTTGAGGCAGAGTCTCACTCTGTTGCCCAGGCTGGAGTGCAGTGGCACACAATCTCAGCTCACTGCAACCTCCGTCTCTCGGGTTCAAGTGGTTCTCCTGCCTCAGCCTCCCAAGTAGCTGGGATTACAGGCACCCGCCCCCACACGTGGCTAATTTTTGTATTTTTAGTAGGGACGGGGTTTCACCATGTTTCACCATGTTGGCCAGGCTGGTCTAGAGCTCCTGACCTCAGGTGATCCGCCCACCTCGGCCTTCCAAAGTGCTGGGATTACAGGCGTGAGCCACCGCGCCTGGCCATCATATTATATACTTTAAATACATATAACTTCTTTATGTTAATTATACCTCCATAAAGCTATAAAGAATGGTGCTGGAAAAGAAAGAATGGTGCTAAAGTACTACTGTTTCTTTAGTAAACATACATTATATAATAGGCACTGTTGTAAATTATTAACAAATAATTAATCTTCTTAATTGAAGTAGGTGTACTATTTTTATCTTTCCTTTATAGACGAGGAAGCTGAGGCACAGAGTGATTGTCACATAACCAGTAAGGTACTGATGCCTTCTAAGGCTCATGTGCATCAGTGTTTGTGAGCAGTAGACCCTTCAGTACACTTTGGTCATCTGTGGGTCAAATACTTCTGGTGGCCTGAACAGGGACAAAGAAATGGAAGGAAGGAGGAAAGGGAAGGAGAAAATCAAGGGGGAGGGAGAAAAAAGGTATCTGCTAACATCTCAGTTACCTTCCTTGAAACCACTTCTGGAAACTACTCTGCATTCTAAATGCTACCCTTTTTAGCATTGCTTATTTAGTAATTGTTTCATTTATTAAAAACATCTTATTACACAGAATTAGGTACGCCACTGGCTGAATCATACCTTATGAAACATTATATACAGCCCAAACCTAATGTAATTTGCATTTTCCAATCTTTTCCTTAGACAGAGTCATTGAAATCAGTGAGGAGGAACCTAATAATCTTACTGAAGTAAACCTTATGGATTATTAAGACTCTCTCATCCCTGTTTATTGAGGGGTGATTGACAGACTGATATTGTAGGAAATAAAGGGAGGGTTAACCCATCTGAGAGGAAGTCAGCTCCCTTTCTTAAAGGAGCTTTATGGAATTGTTTTGGAAATAACTAACTAAGATACTTGATTATTGTAACTTGCTAACTGCAGTATAAATCACAGGCTGTATGCTTTGCTGTAGTCCCAGAGACTCAGGAGGCTGAGGCAGGAGGGTAGCTTGAGCCCAGGAGTCTGAGGTTGTGGTGAGCTATGATTGCACCACTGCACTCCAGCCTACGTGACAGAGTGAGACCGTTTCTAAAACAAAAATAAAACCAAACAGCCTTCTGCTTCCCCACAAAACCTCACAGAACAACAACAAAAACCTAACTTTGAAAGATCTTAAATTCTTATTGTTTTGAAGTAGAATTTGCATTTTGAAATCTTTTTAAGTTTGGAAAACTAGTTTCTTCTGACAGTGGTAGGGGTAAGTAGACCATTCATATTCAAATTCTTGTTTGTATTTTGTTTGGGATTTCTATGCAAGGATATGAAAATCGAAGCATTCAATAAGACACTGGAGCTTGCTTATTTTTGCTTTTTTTTTTTAGGTTTGTTCCAAGATGAAGATTCATGCAGTGATTGTAGCTACCGTGATAAACCAGGTTCTAGTTTACAAAGTTTTATGCCTGAAGGAAAAACCTTTTTCCCAGAAATTTTCCAAACAAATCAACTTTTGTTCTATGAGCGATTCAGAGCCTATCAAGATTACATTTTAGGTGAGTAGGTTTTTTGCTTTTTTTTTTTTTTGAGATGGAGTTTTGCTCTTGTTGCCCAGACTGGAGTGCAATGGTGTGATCTTGGCTCACCGCAACCTCCGCCTCCCTGGTTCAAGTGATTCTGCCTCAGCCGCCCTAGTAGCTGGGATTACAGGCATGAGCCATGACACCCAGATAATTTTGTATTTTTACTAGAGATGGGGTTTCTCCATGTTGGTCTGGCTGGTATCGAACTCCCAACCTCAGGTGATCCACCTGCCTTGGCCTCCCAAAGTGCTGGGATTACAGGCATGAACCACCATGCCCGGCTGGTTTTTTCTCTCTTTTATCTTTTTAGTTTACAAGTAGATTATTTGTTTCAGTCCCTCAGATTGCCAGTTGTTGTTTCTGAGAAAGTGGATTTATTAACTTCCCTCTGCTTTATGTATTCTCAATTCTTCTTGTGTTTAATTTGTTTGTAGCTGACTGCAAGGCCTCTGAGGTACAGGAATTCACAGCTGAGTTCTTGGAGAAGGTCCTTGAGCCATCTGGATGGCGGGCGGTCTGGCACACTAACGTGTTCAAGGTGCTGGTTGAGGTAAGGTTAATTTTGTTTTTAAGACCTTTGTCTCTAGCTATAAGCACTTTACTTCAGACTGTTATAGCCTAAGTGCTTATTTTTAATTAAAGTTTATGAGCTGATTCAAATAGCATGTGTTTCACATCTCATTGCCATGTTGCAGGAAGTGTTCTGCAAATTTTAAAGGCAGCTGAGGAGTTGTTACCAGGGAATTAAACTGGTTTAAATTAATTAAAAGAAGGTATTTGAGATCACTTAAAAAATTAGGCCTAATTATGAAGTTAATGGTTTCAAAAAAGTTTTTAACTTCTTAATTGTAATTCGTTAAGCAGCTCAAACCTAAGAGACATTTTTATTTATTTATTTTTTTTGAGATGGAGTCTCACTCTGTTGCTTAGGCTGGAGTGCAGTGGCATGATCTTGGCTCACTCACTGCAACCTCCGCTAAGTGGCATTTTAAAACTAGCCCATTTTTTGCATAGCAAGTTTGTTTATATGTGGTTAATCTCTTGACATTGTGTCCCATTGCAGAATGTAAAAGCAATCTTATTCTTCTGCTGACTAGGCCTTTTACATTACATTTGCATTCTAATTACAGCTTTGAATTTTTCTCAGTGTTTGTTAACTGACCACAAAAAGCCCTAGTAACCTAAAATGTCAAACCAGGGTGTGTGAATACAAGTTGTCGCTGCAGCTCCCTTAGAAAATGGCATCACATACTGCAGTGATTATGTACGAGGCAGTGGATTGCAGCTATTGCTTGTGAGTTTTAAAATTTTGGATTATGCTAATATTTTTTGGTTGAAGTTCAGGCCTATTCATTTGGTTATGATAGGGCGCCCCCTGCCAGTCCGTTCTCTGAAAACAGTCAAAGTCATTGTTTCAAAACAGAAGCATGCCATTTCTCTGCTTAAAACTCCTAATGCATTGTCTTTACCAAGGGCTTAGTATTGGCTTTATGGCTTCTCATTGTATAGAAAACACGTAAAATCCAAGCTCCTTCAGATGTCCTTCATGTCCTTGTCTTGTTGCCTCTCTCTCTCTCACCTCATGTCTTGCTGCTCCACTGAACATCACCCCCTTCCTCCATTTCCTCCCTTTGGCTCCAGCAAGGACTACCTTCCCGCTCCTTCAGCTGCCAAGCCTGTCTCTGGCACAGGCCTTTTGCGCTTTCCCTGCTCTTCAGATGGCCACTTCCTTCTCATCCTCCTCAGCTTGGCTCAGAGCTGATTTCCTTGGCCATCTCAGCAGAACCAGATCCCCACCCCTGCTAGTTATTCTCTGTCACCTACTCGTTATCATTGTGTTTATTGATCTTCCTGACTACAGTGTAAGCTCCATGAGGATTACAGTGTAAGCTCCATGAGGATTACAGTGTAAGCTCCATGAGCCAGCCTGTCTTGTTCATCTTTTATGTTATGGGTAAAGGGTCCCCACCCACATTGCATGCTTTTAAAAAAATCCGGTTGTCGGTAGTCTTATAGGTATATCTTAATTTTGATTTCCATGTGTTACGTCTCATTATTTTAAATTTCAGGCCACAGATGTGGACTTTGCAGCCTTGAAGGCAGTGGTGAGGCTTGCTGAACCATACCTCTGTGACTCTCAAGTGAGCACTTTTACCGTGGAGTGCATGAAGGAGCTCCTCGATCTGAAGGAACATCGGTTGCCCCTGCAGGAGCTCTGGGTGGTGTTTGATGATTCGGGAGTGTTTGACCAGACAGCTCTTGCAATTGAGCATGTCAGGTAGGAAAAGAAGTTGAGAAAAATAACCTTGTGGCCAGAAACTTTGGATGAAATGAAGTAATTCTGGTCTGTGTTAGACCCAGATTTAAAACTCAACTGTAAACTTGGTCATTGCAGTATTTAAAAATATCCAAAGATGGGATAATCTTTTTTAAATTAAAAAAAATTAATGTCTTAAATCATTTTTTTCTATTTTTAATTTTGAGACAGAGTCTTGCTCTGTTGTCCAGGCTGGAGTGCATTGGCGTGATCTTGGCTCACTGCAACCTCCACCTCCTGGGTTCAAGCGATTCTCCTGCCTCAGCCTGAGTAGCTGGGATTACAGGCATCCACCACCATGCCCGGCTAAATTTTGTACTTCTAGTAGAGACGAGGTTTCACTATGTTGGCCAGGTTGGTCTCAAACTCTTGACCTCAGGTGATCCACCTGCCTCTACCTCCCAAAGTGCTGGGATTACAGGCGTGACCCACCATGCACCTGGCCTAAAAACGTTTTAAGTCATTTTATGATAATTTCAAACTAATAGAAAAGCTGACAAAACTAGTATAGTTGACTCTTGAATGATGCGGGGGTTAGGGGTGCCTATCTCCTCCGACCCCTGCACAGTCAAATATCTGAGTATAACATCTGAGTAATATATAATGACCATAATGTAAATAATATTGCTTGGTGTTTTATAGTTTAAAAAGTACTTTCCATTTTCTATACTATTAGTAAGTCAGCCTAGTTTTGCTGAGCTTAACTCGAATGCTCTGCAAAGAAGCAGAATGTTTCAGGCCCCGCTGCCAACATCTTACAGACAGTTTCCGATTGTATGCAAGAACATTTAACCCTAGATGTTCAGTATTGGGCCAAGCAGAATGAATCTAAAGAACCGGTTTCTGTCCAGAACCCAAATAACTCCCTTCTATTTTTCTCATTAAAAAAAAAATCTGTCAATTGAAACATTTGAAGATAAAGAGATAACTGATAAGTTTAGGAAATTAGGAATCAGAGCGCTAATCTCTATGGGCATAGAAGTTGGTAGAAAAATAAGTATCTGGAATGTTATTTGGTAGTATTATTTGCAGAGGAGCCTGGTTAAATGTACACTGCATTTTGAGGGCTGAGATTTGGGTCAGTGCCCAGAGAGGGTCAAATTATGAGGGATTTCATTCGTTCATTGATTCAATAAATATTTGAGTGCCAGGTCCTTAGTCAAGGGTGGGGTATGTCTGATGCATGAGACACACCATCATCAGGGAGCTGTTAGTCTAAAGGTGGGAGATGAGCCTTGAAGAGATAATCATGCACAGATGTCTGCATGATTGGAAATAGCAGTCAGTGCTGTGAAGAATTACAGAGTGTCCTAAGATTAGGTCAAGTTGCAGTTCTAGGGTTATTTCCTGGAATAATGACATTTGAACTTGGGTTAGCTGGGTGAAAGGGGAGGCAGGGATGGGGAACGGAAAAGATTTAGGCGCTCAGTGTGTTGAAGGAGCTGAAAGGCCAGCATGGCTGAAACACAGACAGTGCTGGGAGAGACCTAGGAAACGAGATTAGAGAGGTTGGCAGGGCCCAGACAGTGTGGGGCTTTGTTAGCTGGCTAGTCATTTTTGTCTTTAAGAGCAGTGGGAAGCCACTGAAGGATTTTTATTCTTGGGCAAATATGACTAGTTTTGTGTTTTGTGTTTTTATTTTTTTGGAAACAGGGTCTTATTCTGTTGCCCAGGCTGGAGTGCAGTGGTGCAGTTATGGTTCAATGCAGGCTCGAACTGCGGGGCTCAAGTCATCCTCTTGCCTCAGCCTCTGGATCAGCTGGGATTATAGGCATGTGCCACCACTGCCCAGCTAATTTTTTGACACAATTTTTCCATAGAGATGGGGCCTTGTTGTGTTGCCCAAGCTGGTCTTGAACTCCTGGGCTCAAGCAATCCTCCCACCTCAGTCCCCTAAAGTGCTGCTTTGTGTTTTCAAGGGTTCATTGTGGCCTCTGTGTAGAAAAATGGTGGGAGATGGAATTGGGAGACCAGTTACGAGGCAAAAGAGAGGACTGGAGTGGGGATATGGAGAGGACAGATGGAGGCTTACTGAGAAAGTAGAATGACTGGGACTTGGTCGAGTGAATATCAGAGATGAGAAGATGTGAATGAAGTGAGAGAAGTCAAGGCTGACTTACATATTTCTGGCTTGAAAGAACCAACACTGGGGGAGGTGCAGGTGGGAATGATGTGTAAATGCTTGGCATGGGACTGGTGAGGATGACACTGGAGCTGAGTCATGGAATAGAACTATAAGTTTATCATGTGGAAAAGGCGGAAGGCACTTCTGGCAGCTTGACTAACAAGTTACATGGAGGTTTGAAAGAGCTTGTGAAATTGAGAGTTTACGTACAACGGCTCTGAGGCAGGAGAGGTGCAATAGGGCCAGATTATGAATCTATTTATAGTACCACGTTCAGGACTTCTTTTTGAGGGCTAAAAGGGAGCCAGCAGAGGTTTTTTTAGTTGAGTAGAGGCATGCTTAAGTTCATTACAAAAAAAAAAAAAAAGACTCCACTAGAGGGTGAAGGAACTAATAGCCCAATCTACAGTAATTAGGAAATGGCTGGTTTCATTTTCAGTGCTTCCTTTTCACAGCAGAACTTCTTGAAAGGGTTATATATAATCACAGTCTATACTTGCTGGCGTCCCAGTAACATTTCTACCCTGACTTCATCTCTGAAATTGTGCACAAAGACTTCTATGTTCTTGTATTCAGTCGACATTTCACTGATCTCATCTTGCCTCTGATCTCATCTTGCTTGACCTCTTGACATTCTAGGTATTTGATCATTCCCATCTTCTTAACACACTCTCTTCTCAGCTTTCGGGACACCACTGTTCAGCTGGTGTCTTACTGGCTTGCTGTCTTAAGTCATTTTGGCCAGCTTTTCCTCTCATGCTCAAACTTTAGAATGTCGGAGTTACCCAGTGATCAGTTCTAGGCCATCTACTGTTTTTTCCCTAATCAACCTTGGAACCACTTTGGAATCACCTGAGGAATTTCTTTATAAAAGTATTCCAACCAATACATGAAGAAAGTGATAGAATATCAGTATTTTGTAACCACTAATGAAATAAAGGTTCTAGACAGTGAACATCAATGACTGCTGCAACCATTAGGGAAAGAGAACTTTATAGAGGGTGGATCAGGCTGACAACCTGTATCTGTTGATGAATCTTAACCTCACAAAAAGACTTGGCCAGGCGTTTTAGTAAAGTCCTCAGTTACTGTTGTTGGTAGGTTCTTAGAAACTGCAATGTTAATGAAACCAATTTTACCATAGGCTCACTGATATAAACAAAAGTTAAAGTTTCTACAGCATATTTCTGGTCATGAAAACATCATCAAACTTCTAAATAAAGACCCCAAACAATTCTAATCTTAAACATTGAAATAAATATGAGCTATACATACATTAAGAAGTATTAATGCAAACAAGATAATTATTGACCCAGTTTCCAATTTTCAGTGAAACAGTGAGTGACAGTGGTCATTGTGGTGTTGAGTAAATGAAGGAATAAATGTCTGCAAAGCGGAAATTATAAGGAGCACTTCCTACCATCACCCAGTTCAAAACAATGATAAACATGGTGGGCTCACTGAGCAATTTCATGCCACAGCATTGATTGTTGTGCATTTGTATGATTATTGTATACTTTATGAATTTTTGTTTGACAGTAATTTGTATTCATTCACTTTCCAACCTGTTTATTCCAGTTCAGGGTTGCAGGTGGCCAAAGCCTATTCCCGTAGCTCAGTGTACAAGGCAGGAACCAGCCGTGAACAGGAGCCCATTTCGTCACAGAGTGCACTGACACACACTCACACTCAGACTGGGACAAGGCAGACACAGAATTCACCTCATGCATGCATCTTTGGGATGTGGGAGGAAATCAGAGTACCTGGAGAAAACCCATGCAGACATGGGAAAAATGTACACACTCCACACAGACAGTGGCTTTTTGAATGAGGCTCTGCTCTTCCTGCTTCTTGACTGAAGTACATTACACCTCCCTTGAAGTATTCTTGCAAAAAATCCTTCCTGAAGCCCCGCAGGTCTGTAGATCTTACTAGAAATAACGTGAAGTACATGTTAAATGACCCATGGGGACTGGGTGCACCTGTAATCGTAGCACTCTGAGAGGCCAAGGCAGGCGGATCATTTTAGCCCAGGAGTTTGAGACCAGCCTAGGCAACATGGCGAAACCCCATCTCTACTAAAAATACAAAAATTAGCAGGGCATGGTAGTGCGTGCCTGTAATCCCAGCTACTCAGGAGGCTGAGGCAGGATAATTGCTTGAACCCAGGAGGCGGAGGCTGCAGTGAGCCAAGGTCGTGGTACTGCACTCCAGCCTGGGCAACAGAGCAACACACTGTCTCAAAAAAAAAAAAAAAAAAAAAAGAAAAATGACCCCATGGGGATGTAATCACCAAAATTTAGAGTGTGGGAAATTAGTCAATAAATTGCAAGGGAAAAAAGAGGGAGAGGTAATGCATAGGCTAACAGTGATTTAAGAGATGTGTCTGTCAAGGGCAGCAGTGGATCCTCATTTGGTGCCTGATTGGAACAAGTCAACTGTGAAACAGCAGCAGAAGACAATTAGGGGGATTTGAACACTGGATATTTGGTAATATCAAGGAATTAAAACTTTTGGTATAAAGATTTATTTTAGAGATACATACTAAAAATTTGTGAATGATTTGATGTGTCTGAGATTGGTTCAAAATAATCCAGTATATTTGGGAAACTGAAGTGGGTGAGTTGCCTGAGGTCAGTTTGAGACCAGCCTGGCCAACATAGTGAAACCCCATCTCTACTAAAAATACAAAAAATTAGCGGGGCGTGGTGGTAGGCGCCTGTAATCTGAGCTACTAGGGAGGCTGAATCACTTGAACCCAGGAACTGGAGGTTGCAGTGAGACGAGATTGTGCCCTTGCACTCCAGCTTGCGCAACAAGAGCAAAACTCCATCTGAACAACAACAAAAAAATCCAGTATCAAGATGGTGGGGGAGGAGAGCAGAGGGTGCCGGGGTGAAGCAGAGATGAAATAAGATTGTGAGTTGGTAATTGTTGAAGCTGCCTGATGATACATGGTATTCATGATACTATTTCTCTGTTGTTGTATATGTTTAGGATTTTCCATAATAAATTTGTTAAATCACTTGGAGCACTTTAAAAAAATATGGATACAGCTGGGCACTGTGGGTCATGCCTGTAATCCCAGCACTTTGGGAGGCCAAGGCGGGGGGATCACCTGAGGTCAGGAGTTCGAGACCAGCCTCGCCAACATGGCAAAATGCTGTCTCTACTAAAAGTACAAAAATTAGCCGGGCGTGGTGGCGGATGCCTGTAATCCCAGCTACGCAGGAGGCTGAGGCAGGAGAATTGCTTGAACCCGGGAGGGTTGCAGTGAGCCAAAATGGAGCCACTGCACTCCAGCCTGGACCACAAGAGCAAGACTTCGTCTCAAAAGAAAAGAAAAGAAGAGTATGGATGCTGGTTCCCCTGCACCTTCCCCAGCCCCACCAGATTCTGATTGATTGGCCTGGGAGAGTGAACTAGTTGTTTTTGTTTTTAAATTTATTTATTTATTTTGAGAAAGAATCTCACTCTGTCGCCCAGGCTGGAGTGCAGTGGTGCAATCTGAGTTCACTGCAGCCTCAGCCTCCCAGTTCAAGTGATTCTTGTGCCTCAGCTTCTTGAGTAGCTGGAATTACAGGGGAATCAATTTTTAAAAGTGTCCCAGAGGACTCCAGTGTACAATGAGGGTTGAGAACCACTGCCTTATGATTATGTCCTTATGTGATCTTATACATTGCTTTAACACCGTCAATGTGTTGACAGCTACCAGGTTTATGTCTCCAGCCCAGACCTTTCCCTGGAGCTTTGGGCTGTATATTCCTCTGTTATTTTCAACCCCAAATCTGTTTCTCTCTGTGTTTTTTGTCTCAGCAAATGGCACTACCATCCATCCAGGTACTGGTGGTCAATAAATAATTCTTCCAATAAAAAGAAAGCCCTGGCCAGGCGCAGTGGCTCACGCCTGTAATCCCAGCACTTTGGGAGTCCGAGGTGGGTGAATCACGAGGTCAGGAGTTTGAGACCAGCCTGGCCCATATAGTGAAACCCCATCTCTACTAAAAATACAAAAAATTAGCTGGGCGTGTTGGTGGGTGCCATCTCAGCTATTCAGGAGGCTGAGGCAGGAGAATCACTTAAACCCAGGAGGTGGAGGTTGCAGTGAGCCAAGATCACACCATTGCACTCCAGCCCCGGAGACGGAGTGAGACTCTGTCTCAAAAAAAAAAGTCCTAACAAAACCAATGTGGAGAAACTTCTCTTCTTTAACTGATCCAAAAAAGGTCTCTATGTTATGTGACTCATGACTATCAACCATAGCAAATATGCAGCATTCTCCTATGAGAATTGTTTTGATTTACTGTTTAGCTCTCACCCCTCCAAAATCTTAATGTTTTGAGCCAGTGATAGAATTTGAATGATACTAAGTTCCATTTCAGATTTTTCTACCAAAACATTTGGAGGAGTTGGGATGAAGAAGAGGAGGATGAATATGATTATTTTGTCAGATGTGTTGAACCTCGATTAAGATTGTAAGTATTTATTGCTGACCTTGTTGTACATATTGGAAAAATAGTTACCCATGGTTTAATTTTGTCTGTGTGAGATACACACACTCTTTCTCTCTCTGTCTCTGTCTCTCTCTCTGTGTCTATTTTCTTTCCAGGAGCTCATAGACAGAAATAAACTGACGTACAAATTGTGCTACCCCTTGACAAGTCATTAAGTGAAACTTGTACAAGTGCAGAGAAACCTACTTTCAGTGTTTATAAATTGAGTCAAAAAGCAGGAAGTTCAAGAACATCTAAATTAGTAGCTCACTGTTTTGTTAATTTGAGTAAAATTCAATTGAACTAGTGGGTTAAGAAGCCCTTTGTTAAATTCGATTGTTTGAAAAACAGTGACATTATTTGAATTATATAAGACTTTTTGGCTTCAATTTTGTAAATAATACTTTAAAGGTATATGGCTTTACTCTAAGTTTCTGTAGTGAAACACAGCAGGCTGAACTAACAGATCTACCTTAAGATATTTTGTCAGCCTCCTGCCTTAAATCTTAATGACCTTATTAAATGTGGCATTTATCTTCCCACTAGATGGTGCTTTAAGACCAGTAATTTTTTCTTGTATTCAATAGCAGTAACTTCATAGGCAGTGCTGCAATAAGAATGAAATTATAACTTGCACTCCAAAAAAATAATTGTAGAAGGTAATTTTTTTCCCTGGGTAAAAGATGATTTTTTTTTCCCCTGTATGAAAGACAAGATGAGAAGATAAGGCAGTAGGCCTTTACATTTTTGTGGAGCTCAAGTTGATTTAGTGAGTTTCTCTTGGCTTAAATAGTAAATAATAAGAAAATGAAAAATGTGTGAGGCCTGGCATGGTGACTGTAATCCCAGTAATTTGGGAGGCTGAAGGAGGAAGACAACTTTTTTGAGACAAGCTCTCACTCTGTTGCCCAGGCTGGAGTGCAGCGGTATGATCTCCCTCACTGCAGCCTCAACCTCCTGGGCTCAAGTGTCCCTCCCACCTCAGCCTCCTGACTAGCTGTAAATACAGGTGCATGCTACCACACTGAGCTAATTTTTGTATTTTTAGTAGAGATGGAGTTTCACCATGTTGGCCAGGCTGGTCTCGAACTCCTGACCTCCAGTGATTTGCCTGCCTCTGCCTCCCAAAATGCTGAGATTACAGGCCTGTGCCATCGTGCCCAGCCCGGGAAGACCTCTTGACCCTAGGAGTTTGAGACCGACCTGGGCAACATAGTGAGACCCCACCTTTACAAACCTAAAAAAAAAAATTAGCTGGGTATGGTAGGGCATGCCTATAGTCCCAGCTGCTGGGGAGGCTGAGGCAGGAAGATCGCTTGAGTCCAGGAGTTTGAAGCTGCAATGAGCTGTGATTGAACCACTGCACTCCAGCCTAGGTGACAGGGCAAGACCTTGTCTCAAAAAAAAAAAAAAAAAAAGTTTGAAAGTCTGATGAATAGTTCTACCTGGCTGAGAATTATGTATGTTGGATTTTAGCTCTTCATAAATGGGCTATGATTTCTATTTAGGCTTTCCAGTTTTTCCATTGTGCATTTCCTATTTTTCCATAGCATATTCAATAAAATCCTAAAATTTCAATAAGCTTGAGTATTTTCTAGGTTTGATACCCTTGCTCTTGAAAAGAAATGATTGATTTTGATTGACGTGAAATATAAGGGAACATAACGTATATTGGACAAATTCAATCTTTACTTGGAAAAAAAGTTGTATTCTGATTTGACAGCCTTGCATGTGCTAACGACAAGCAATGACTTACATGCATAGCTTGTACATCACTGGCAGATGGGAAGGCATAAGGGAGGAATTGTGTGTGGTTATGCAGAAGACATGGTGGTACTCGATGGAGAGACCGGAATGTTATCAGATGTGGGCAGACTTAAAAAAGGTCTCTGGGCTAAGATAGGAGTGGGGCTATCAATAGGCAAAATCAAACCAGACTGTCTGGATTTTGTACTGTTCAGTAAATTTTTCCTTTCTACTTCAAAACACACTGCTTATACGTGACTAAAGGAGGTCTGAAAAAAACCAACACTGCTTCAGAACTTCGGGGTCTGAGACACAAATGTTAGTTCATTGCTTCTAGACTATGAAGTATCAATATAATGAAAAGAAATAAGCTAACAGGCATGGATACTGGAAATGCTAAGAAACTTATTTTAAAATTTGAGTCTTAATCTTCACAGCTTAGTAGAACATGATTTCATCCTCAATTTCTTTTTTTTATTTTTAAAATTTAAAAATTTTTTTGTTTTTCCCTTTTTTTTTTTTCACAGCTGCTCATTCAGTTTCTTTTGGATTAACCAAAGTAGACAAAATCCTTGCTTTTCAAGCTTCACCTAATTCCTTACTTGAAAAGCGGGAAAAGTTTCTTTTTTATTCATTTAAAATGTTTAAGTGTTCATAGTATGATCTAAATTTGTTTAAGATATGGTTCTATCTTGCTTTTGTTTTTCCCTATCTTATTTAGAGTGTGACTAAATTAAAAAAAAATCACTTAAGGCAATTGTGCTCACTCTTGGCTACACATTAGCATCCCCAGGGAACTTAAAAAAATACCCCTCTATGTCCAGAGACTCATTTAATTGGTCTGGATGGGGCCCTGAGCATCTGTTTGTTTGTTTGTTTGTTTTTTGAGACAGGGTCTTGCTCTGTTGCCCAGGCTGGAGTACGGAGTACAGTCGCATAATTAGATCGCACAGCAGCCTTGGCCCCTGGGGCTCAAGCCATCCTCCCACCTCAACCTCCCAAGTAGCTGAGACTACAAATGCATGCCACCACGCCAGGCTCATTTTTGTATTTTTGTAGTGACAGGGTTTTGCCATGTTGCCCAGGCTGGCCTCAAACTCCTGGGTTCAAGTGATCTGTCTGCCTTGGCCTCCCAAAGTGCTGGGATTACAGGTGTGAGCCACTGTGCCCGGCTTCTTTTACTTTATTTTTAAACCCATTAATTTTATATCGTTAACTTGATTGTGCATTTACAAATTATTTTATTGCATCTAGAAATACTCTGTGTTCTGTTTTTATATTTGAGAAAGTTTATAAATTAATACATTTGAAGTGCCAGTATGGTTGTCCCAGTACAAGGTTATTTTGTTTCAGTCACTCTCTAGTTTAGTAATGGCACCTTTTTCTCCCCCTCAGAATCTCAAGGGCTTATTTTAAAAAATTCTTTAATAATCTTCCCTAAGGAATATTCAGCATAATTTTGTGCCATAGTGCTTTAAATGGAAGGAGGGACTAGATTATTTGAGTAATTTCTACTTTTTGATCCTATAAATATGGTAACCTTTAATAAATTTTTAAAGTCATATTCAGATCCATGAAAAATATAGTAATCTTAAACATTGTTGTGCAACAATTTGAGATACTGCTCTCCCTACCCCCACTCCCAAATTACCCCCTGCCACCTTCTTATTAAACTTTTGAATCTAATATATGAGAAGAAAATAATTTCTTATTAAATAATAATTACAAATTGTGCAACATGAACTTTCAGTGTTTCTAAGGCACAAATACTTGGATCCAAGAAAAAAAAGTAAACAACTCCTCGAGAGAAGAAAAATTAGTGACCTTAAGGAAGTGGTGCTTTAAACTTCCAACAACTTCCACGTATTATTATTATTATTATTACAGTGCTATTCAGAAAGACTTAACATGCACCTGAGTTATATACTATAAAACACTTTTCTTACTGGCTCTTGGAGTGCTAAGTGGGCTGTTTTAATGATGGGAAAATGTGCCTGAAAGGCAGCGGATTTCAATTTGCTTTTAAACTTTCAGGCATTATGACATTCTTGAAGACCGAGTTCCATCAGGACTTATTGTTGACTACCGCAATCTGTTGTCTCAATGTGAGGAGAGTTACAGGAAATTTTTAAATCTGAGAAGCAGTTTGTCAAATTGTAACTCTGATTCTGAGCAGGAAAATATCTCCATGGTGGAAGGGTTAAAATTGTATTCGGAGATGGAACAGTTGAAACAAAAGCTGAAACTCATTGAGAATCCTTTGTTGAGGTATGTGTGTCTTTGTAATTCTTAGTTGGCATCTTTTCTTACTCGCTGTCTTATTGATAGGCCTGTTTTGTTTCTTTAAGGTATGTGTTCGGTTATCAGAAGAATTCTAATATCCAAGCAAAGGGTGTTCGTCCCAGCGGTCAGAAGATCACTCACGTGGTCTCCTCCACCATGGTGGTTGGTCTCCTGCGGTCCCTGCTCACAGACAGGCTTTGTCAGGAGCCCGGTGAGGAAGAAAGAGAAATTCAGGTAAACGGAGTGTTTCTCGCTTCAGGTGGCTTTTTTTCCTTCTGATTCACCACAGGTTTTCACAAATCCCACAAAGTATTTACAGGAGCTTTCCCGAGATGGTTTTCTGTGCAATGGGAAGTAGTCAGAGTCCTGCCTTTAGTCCTCAGTAGTCACTTACCAGGCATGTGTTAGGTCAGTGCGTTATCAAAGGAGATGCTTAAATATGCAGTTTTTGGCTTCCATTTTCAAAGTAAGACATGAAAGTACCTAGAGTAATACTCAAATTACTTTTTTGGGAGTGTATATTTACAAATGTGTTCTTACTGTTTTCTAGTTCCATAGTGATCCACTGTCTGCTATAAATGCCTGCTTTGAAGGTGACACTGTTATTGTTTGTCCTGGCCATTATGTGGTACATGGCACTTTCTCCATTGCTGACTCCATTGAGTTGGAAGGTGAGTATGGAAGACACACAGCTAAACTCTCACACCTGATATGTTTAAGTAAACAATAAATCACCGATCTTGTTGAAACTTCAAGAATGTGATTTGAACCCGTTTGATTTCTAGTGAGCTGCCTTGAAGCATTAAGGACAGGGAAAGCTTGAAAGAGGTTGACCCAGTGTTTCAGCAACTTGAGTTGTGGTTCTTTGTAGCAGTGTGTATGTTGGGGAGATGTTCACAGGCTCATACAGAAAAAAGACCATTAGGAAGAAACATACTTTCCAGATTGTAGGTGGTTTATGGAAAGGAAATCTAATTTCTAGAATTAAAAAAAGATTCCTAGCAATATTTAAAAAAATTTTAATATTTTAAAAATTTGTTGCTTGCTTTTATCTCATAGATGTTGCAGATATGTTAGTGCATGGCTTTTGTTTGTTGTTTTACACCTAGCTTATTTTCGTGAGAGGTATAATGAAGGGCATTTAACTTGAAATTGGTACCAGTTATCTTAGTTCTCTAAATGCTTGCTGAATGTCACAAATACTACACTTTGTGTCTTGACCAAAGTATACTTTAGAAAAGATTAATGTTGAAAGATTCTATTAAAAATAACTTTTTGGGCCGGGTGCGGTGGCTCATGCCTGAAATCCCAGCACTTTGGAAGACCGAGGTGGGTAGATCACTTGAGGCCAGGAGTTTGAGACCAGTCTGGCTAACGTAGTGAAACCCTGTTGGTACTAAAAATACAAAAATTAGCTGGGCATATTGTTGCACCCTGTAATCCCAGCTACTCGGGAGGCTGAGGCAGAAGAATCGTTTGAACCTGGGAGGTGGAGGTTGCAATGAGCCAAGATCATACCACTATGCTTCAGCCTGGGTTTCAGAGCAAGACTGTCTAAAAAAAAAATAACTTTTTGACAGTTATAATCTTATTGTTCATTTAGAGTGATTTCTGAATTTAGGTTACTTTACAATTGTTCATCTTGGTCCTGTATATATTCATAACGTGTCAAATTTAGTTACACCTGTTCAACTATTTACCAAAAAAGCTTCAAGTTAGCAGTGAAGCTTGTAATGCAAAAAATCATATATCATTTTGGGACTTGTGCAGCTGTTCAGAAACTGCTTAAGCTATACTTTTTATCTTGTCAAAACTTCTAAAGAACTGAGGCTGGAAGTTTGGTTTTCTCCTGTTCCTAGTACATCATCTCACTTCCTTTTTTGTTTCATGTGTATAATTTTTGTTCTTTTCTACTCTCCAATTTTTGATGTATAATAGATGTGTGTATATAAATAACACATCGGCAAGATAAATCACTGTGATAAAAACACTTTATTTTTTGGCATAGTGGAAATAACACTGATATTATAGTTTGTATGGTAGATAAGAGTTCTTCGTAGATTGGTGAGGAAGTTTTAATGTAATTCCCAGAGTGTCGTAAATAGACATAGAATTCTGATAGTTAAGTATAAAAATGGCTGTATATTGACTAACAGTATGGGTCTGAGAATTGGGGAATCAGATGGTATCTCTAGTGTGCATATATAGAGTGTTCATGAGTTAGATTCAAGCTCATCTGATAGTGATCTGTAGCTAACCCGTATAACAAGAGATACATATTGAGTACCTACTATGTGCAGGGTGTCAATAGTACTTACAATAGGGTTTTTCTTTCTTGTTTCAAAAATCCATTCTTTAGGTGATGGTTTTATGTTTTAAGTGGAAAGAAATACATAATTATATAAAAATTTGTGTAAGAATCTTTTCTCAGTATGCAATTCTTTTTGTACTTTTAATTTTTCTGATGATAAAAAGCAATGGTTATTGTAGAAAATATGCAAAGTACAGTTAGATACATACAACAATCAGAAACAAAATCACTCATAATTCAGGCATCCAGAGTCCACCCCTGGTAGCATTCCAGTGTGTGGAGTCCCTTTGCATTCTCTAGGGACCCCAAAGCCTTTGTCCTCTTCCAGTGTAGATACATTGAGTGGCTTTGCTTGTTAAAAACAGTTACTACTTTCATTTACTCAAAGACTCATCTTTAGACAATGAGAGTTATTTCTTACAGCTTTGTCTATGTGGTTCTGTTTTATAATGGAAGTCAAGCAAATTCCTTAGTTTTCTGTTACTCCAGTTTTTTGTAAGCCCACTCAGGTGTTTGGCTTGCATTAATGGTTCAAGTAAGATTTATACAGATCTGATTTTTTTTTGTTTTTTGTTTTTTTGAGATGGAGTCTTGCTCTGTCGCCCAGGCTGGAGTGGAGTGGTGTGATCTCAGCTCACTACAGCCTCTGCCTCCTGGGTTCAAGCGATTCTGGCTCAGCCTCCTCAGTTGCTGGGATTACTGGTGCCCGCCACCATGTCTGGTTAATTTTTGTAGTTTTAGTAGAGATAAGGTTTCTCCATGTTGGCCAGGCTGGTCTCGAACTCCTTACCTCAAGTGATCCACCTGCCTCGGCCTCCCAAAGTGCTGGAATTATAGATATGAGCCACTGCGCCTGACCGAGATCTGATGCTCTTTTTTTGAGACAGAGTTTTACTCTGTCACCCAGGCTAGAGTGCAGTGGCACGATCTTGGCTCACTGCAACCTCCACCTCTCAGGTTCAAGCAGTTTTCCCACCTTAGCTCCCTGAGAAGCTGGGATTACAGGCACATGCCACACTCGGCTAATTTTTGTATTTTTTGTACAGGCAGGATTTCTCCATGTTGGCCAGGCTGCTTGAACTCCTGACTTTAAGTGATCCACCTGTCTCAGCCTCCCCAAATGCTAGGATTACAGGCGTGCACCACTGCACCCGGCCTTGATCTGATGCTTTTTATTTGTTAATGAGGTAGACTGTTTTTTTTTTTTCTAGTAACTCGTCAGTTTGTCAGATTTTAAGCCAACTGTTTAAGAGAATATTGAACTTAGATCATCTTGAGAACTGCTTAGGTTTCAAATGTAATTTATATTAGAATCATAGAATGTTAGAGTTAGAAACAAACTTCTAAGGGTAAGTGCTTTAAAGTTCTTTGACTCAGCTATAAGTCCTTATTTTTATTATTTTTTGAGATAGGGTCTCATTCTGTCACCCAGAATGAAGGCTGGAGTGCAAAGGCATGATCATAGCTTACTGCAGCCTTAAAATTCTGGGATCAAGTGACCCTCCCACCTTAGCCTCCTTGAGTAGTGAGTAATTGGTGCATGCCACCACGCCTAATTTTTTTTTATCTTTGTAGAGATAGAGTCTCACTATGTTGCCTAGGCTGGTCTTGAACATTATTTATTTTTTTTTTAGCACTTTTGTAAGTGAATTTAGTGCTGAGCTTATGTGGGATAGTTGATAGGGTAGTCTTCCTGATACGGGAACTAGTCAGAGAGTTGTTATTGTTAAAAATTGGATACCGTGGTTTAAATTAAAGAGGATATGTGGGGAGATATATTTTATTTAAATGCAGCATGGTTGACTGATCTTGTTATCACCTGCAGTCATTTGAACTAGAGAAACCTATTCTAGAGTGTTCATGTTTAGGTGTTTTTCCTTACCCATCTTGAGTGTTCTTGCTCTCTCTTCCTTAGGATATGGCCTACCAGATGACATTGTGATAGAAAAGAGGGGCAAAGGCGACACTTTTGTGGACTGCACTGGTGCTGATATTAAAATTTCAGGCATAAAATTTGTTCAGCACGATGCTGTAGAGGGAATCTTAAGTAAGTATCTGAATGTTTGGTGTATCGTTTGTTCTAAGATTTGAAGGAAAACTGTACTTTCTATGGAAGATAGAATTTAATGAAATGCCACTCTTGAGTACAGGCATACCTTGTTTTATTGCACTTCACAGATACTGAGTTTTTTTTTTTTTTTCACAAATTGAAGGTTGTGGCAACCCTGTTTCAAGCCAATCTGTTGGCACCATTTTCCCAAGAGCATGTGCTTACCTTGTGTCTCTGTGTCACATTTTAGTAACTCTCACAATATTGCAGGCCTTTTTTTTTTTTTTTTTTTTAAATTATAGATGATATGCTGATCTGTGAGCAGTGATTTTGATGTTACTATTATAGTTGTTTTGGGGTGCCATGAACCATATCCATATAAGATGGTGAACTTAACTGATAATTTTGTGGGTCTGACTGTTCCACCAATCAGCCACTCCCCTATCTCTCTCCTTCTCTTTGAACTACCCTATTCCTTGAGACACAGCAATATTGAAATTAGACCAGTTAATAACCGCTACAATGGCATCTATGTGTTCAAGTGAAAGGAAGAGTCACGTGTCTCTCATGTTAAATTTAAAAACTAGAAATGTTTAACTTAGTGAGGAAGGCATGTCGAAAGCTGAGACAGCCTGACACCTAGGTCTCTTGTGTCAGTTGGGGAAGTTTTGAATGTAAAGGAAAAGTTCATAAAGGAAATTAAAAGCACTACTCTAGTGAACACATGAATGATAAGAAAGCGAAACAGCCTTATTACTGAAATGGAGAAAGTTTCCATGGTCTGGATAGAAGATCAAATCAGCCACCACATTCCTTAAATTAGAGCCTATTGCAGAGCAGAGCCCTAACTTCCTTCAATTCTGTGAAGGCTGAAGAAGGTGAGGAAGCTGTAGAAGAAGAGTTTGAAGCTAGCAGAGGTTGGTTCATGAGGTTTAAGGAAAAAAGCCATCTCTGTAACATAGAAGTGCAAGATGAAGCAGCAGGTGCTGATGCAAGCTACAGCAAGTTAACCAGAAGATCTAGCTAAGGTAATTGATGAAGGTGGATACACTAAACAACACATTTGCAATGTAGATGAAATAACCTTCTATTGGAATAAGATGCCATCTAGTACTTTTCATTGCTAGAGAGGAGAAGTCAATGCTTGGCTTCACAGCTTCAAAGGACAGGCTGACACTCTCATTCGGAGTGAATATAACTGGTTACTTCTAAGTTGAAGCCAGTGCTCATTTACCATTCTGAAAATCCTAGAGCCCTTAAGAATTATGCCACATCTACTCTGCCTGTGCCCTAGAAATGGAACAACAAAGCCTGAATGGTAGCACATCTGTTCATAACGTGGTTTACTGAATATTTTAGGCCCATTATTGAGATTTACTACTGAAAAAAAAAGACTCCTTTAAAAATATGATTGCTTATTGACAATGTACCTGTTCATCAGAGAACTAATGATGGAGGTATACCAGGAGATTAATGTTGTTTTCATGTCTCCTAATAACATCCATTCTGTAGCCCATGGATCAAGGAGTAATTTCGACTTTCAAATCTTACTATTTGAGTAATACACTTCATAAGGCTCTACCAGCTATTGATAGTGATTCCTCTGATGGGTCTGGGCAAAGTCAACTGAAAACTTTCTGGGAAGAAGTCATCATTCTAGATGTCATTAAGAACATTTATGATTCATGGGAGGAGGTTAAAATCTCAACATTAACGTGGGTTCTGGAGAGGTTGATTCCAGCCCTCATGGATGATTGAGGGGTTCAAGACTTGAATGGAGGAAGTAACTGCAGATGTGGAAATAGCAAGAGGACTAGAGCCTGATGATAGCAAGTAGAACCTCAAGATGTGACTGAATTGCTACAGTCTTGTAACAAAATTGGAACAGATGAGGAGTTGCTTCTTATGGATGAGCGAAGAAGGTGGGTTCCTGAGATGGAATCTCCTGGGGAGGATGCTGTGAACATGGTTGAATGACAACAAATGATTTAGAGTATTATGTAAACTTGGTAAAGCAGAGGCAGACTTTGAAGGGATTGACTCCAATTTTGAATAACTTTCTACTGTGGGTAAAGTGCTATCAAACAAGATCACATGCTGCAGAGAAATCCTTTCATGAAAGGAAGAGTCAGTCAATGTGGCCAACTTCGTTGTTGTCTTATTTTTAAAAATTGTCACAGCCACCTTAACCTTCAGCAAACACCATTCTGATCAGTAAGCAGCCATCAACATTGAGGTAAGACCCTTCACCAGCAAAAAGATTATGTCTTACTGAAAGCTCAGAGGATTGTTAGCATGTTTTAGCAAAATAAAGTATTTTAAATTAAGATGTATACATTTTTAAAAAACATAATGCTTTTGTACACTTAATAGATGCATTATAAACATAGTACTCATTAGTGTAAACTCATATGCTCATTAGTATAAACATAAATTTTATTTATTTTTTGTTTTTAGAGACAGTCTCACTGTCATCTAGGCTAGAGTGTAATACCACGATCATAGCTCACTGTAGCCTCAAACTCCTGGGCTCAAGCAATTCTGTCTCTGCCCCCCAAGTAACTGGGACTACAGGCATGTGTCACCACATCTGGCTAATTTTGGTATTTTCTAGAGATGGAGTCTTGCCCTGTTGCCCAGGCTGGTCTCAGACTCCTGGCCTCAAGTGATCCACCCGCTGCAGACTCCCATAGACAACTTTTGTATGCACTGGTAAACCAAAAAAAATGTGTGACTCACTTCAATTGTGATACTTCCTTTATTGTAGTGGTTTGGAACTCAACCTGCAATATCTCTGGGGTATGAGTGTGTATGCAAGGCTGATTATTAATTTATGAAGCTGGGCGTGGTGGGTCACACCTGCAATCCCAGCACTTTGGGAGGCCGAGGAGGGTGGATCACCTGAGGTCAGGAGTTTGAGACCAGCCTGGCGAACATAGTGGAACCCCGTCTCTACTAAAAATACAAAAATTAGCCAGGTGTGGTGGTACACACCTGTGATCCCGTCTACTCTGGAGGCTGAGGCAGGAGAATTCCTTGAACCCGGGAAGCAGAGGTTGCAGTGAGCCAAGATCGCACCACTGCACTCCAGCTCAGGCAACAGAGTGAGGCTTCATCTCAAAAAAAAAAAAAAAAAAATTACTCATTTAGAATGGGTGCTGTGGCTTACTCCTGTAATTCCAACACTGTGGGAGGCTGAGGTGGGTGGATGCGCCTGAGGTCAGGGGTTCGAGACCAGCCTGGCCAACATGATGAAACCCTGTCTCTACTAAAAAATACAAAAATTAGCTGGGCGTGGTGGCAGGTGCCTGTAATCCCAGCTACTCAGGAGGCTGAGGCAGGAGAATCACTTGAAACTGAGAGGTGGAGGTCTCGCTCTGTTGCCCAGGCTGGAGTGCAGTGGTGTGATCTCAGCTCACTGCAAGCTCCACCTTTCGGGTTCGAGCGATTCCCCTGCTTCAGCCCCCAAGTAGCTGGGATTACAGGTGCCCGCCACCACGCCCGGCTAATATTTGTATTTTTTAGTAGAGACGGGGTTTCACCATGTTGGCCAGGTTGGTCTTGAACTCCTGACCTTGGGTGATCTGCCCCCTCCTCGGCCTCCCAAAGTGTGAGCCAAGCATGCGGCCTAAAAAATTATTTTTTTGTGTACATGGTGTGACGACTTAGCAATCTTAACCCTGAAGTGAAAAATAGCCTATTCATGAGAATTTGTTGTTTAATATTAGTTTCTTTTCTGTGTGGTGATTTTTTTCTTTTAAAGCTTTCCAGTGTTGTGTTCTCTGTATTCAAGGTAGCACTAGAATGAAGCTATCTCCACAATGGAGTAGTGCTTGTTTCCTGGAACCTTTGTATCCCCTTTCTTGAATCAAAGCCTTTTTCTTCCAAGATACTCAGCAAAATTGCTCTCTGATGCTTTTTTTTTCTGGTAATGGAAAGTACTTTTGTATCTGAGGTCAAGTCATTCTTTTTAAAGATAGTTGCTTTTGGATTGTAGAAAATAACTCAAAATAGTTATTGTTTTATATTTTATGAATTTGTAATTTAGGTAAGAAAATTTAAATGATAGCCATTGAGAAATATTTAGACGATAGCTAATGTCAGCACCAGGCTATCTCTAACATTGGGAAAGGCACATTACTTCTTAAAGTAGTCAGCGTGTATTTTCATTCCAGTTGTTCACCGTGGTAAGACTACGCTGGAAAACTGTGTGCTGCAGTGTGAGACGACTGGAGTCACAGTGCGGACATCGGCAGAGTTTCTAATGAAGAACTCGGATTTATATGGCGCCAAGGTAGAAGCTCTTGGAGAAGTAGTTTTAAGTTGTAAATGAAAATATGAAATATGGGACCAAGATGTATGTGCGTACTCCCACTCTCTTCAGACAGTCATTTCTACCAAGTCAGTCAAACTCAACTGTGCAAGGGTCTTCTCATGTAGCATTTTCAAATGATAGGAAGAAAAGTCATAAATCTCACAATTACTTTATGTAGCTTTAAGAGAGGTTTAGACCCTTAAAATTATAACTTTGTAATTGTAGATTCACACAGTGTTGTAAGAAATAACAGGGAGAGGTCCTGCATTATGCCCTTCACCAGTGTCCCCTAACGGTAACATCTTGTGAAACTGTCGTGCCACATCACAACCAGAATACTGGCATCGATCCAGTCAAGTGGAGGAATATTCCCATCCCCACAGGGACCCCTCATGCTGCCCTCCTAGAGCCAAACTCACCTGCCTCTCCCACCAACCTCTTCCTTAACTGCAGGCACACCTATTAAGCTGTTGTTCATTTCTATTTATTTCATCATTTCAAAAATGTAGAAATGGAATCACACAGTATGTGGCTCTTTTGGGATTGACTTTTCTCACTTAGTGAGGTTCTGTGGAGCTTCACCTAGGTCGTTGTATGCACCGATAGCTTGCTCCTTTTTACTGTGGAGGAATAGTCCAATGTGTGATGGTTCCATAGTTTGTTTAGTCACTTGTGGGAGGATGTCTAGATTGTCTCCGGTTTTTGCCTATTGTCGGTAAAGCTGCTATAAACGTTCGGGTAAAGGTTTTTGTGTGAACACAGTTTTCATTTTTTAAGGAGTAAATGCCAATGGATGCAATTATACGTTATATAGTAGTTGCATGTTTAGATTTTTTAAAGAAACCGCTGAAATGTTTTCCAGAGTAGTTGTACCATTTTACATTCCTACTAGCAGTGTTTAAGTGGTCCAGTTTCTCCATGTCCTCAAGAGCATTTGGTGTTTTGGCTATTTTTTGTTTTAGCCATTCTGGTAAGTGTGCAGTAATATCTCATTGTGGTTTTGATTGTCATTTCCCCAGTTGTTACTGATGTCGAGCATTTTCTCATATGCTTTTTTTTTTTTTTTTTTTGAGACGGAGTCTTGCTCTGTCCCCCGGCTGGAGTGCAGTGGCGCGATCACGGCTCACTGCAAGCTCCGCCTCCCGGGATCACGCCATTCTCCTGCCTCAGCCTCCTCAGTAGCTGGGACTACAGGCGCCCGCTACCGCGCCCGGCTAATTTTTTGTATTTTTAGTAGAGACGGGGTTTCACCGCGGTCTCGATCTCCTGACCTTGTGATCCGCCCGCCTCGGCTTCCCAAAGTGCTGGGATTACAGGTGTGAGCCACCGCGCCCGGCCCTCATATGCTTTTTTACCACTCTTATGTCCTCTTTATTGAAATGTCCGTGACTTTTGCCCCATTTTCTAATTGGATTGTTTGTTCTTTTTTACTGTAGAGGTTTGAGAGTTCTCTGTATATTCTAGGTACTAGTCTGTTGTCAAGTATGTGGTTTGGAGACTTTTTTTGCTGCTCTGTAGCTTGTCTTTTCACCTTCTTCATATGGGCTTTTATGGAGCAAAGTATTTTGATGAAGGCCAGTCTGTCAGTTTTTCCTTTTATGAGTCGAGCTTTTGGTAATAAGAACTCTGCCTAGCCATAGATCCTGATTTTCTCCTATTTTTTTTCTAAAATTTTTGTAGCTTTATATTTTATGTAAGGTTGTGATCCATTTTCTAGTTAATTTTGGTATAAGGTGTGAGGTTTAGGTCATGGTTCTTTTCCTATTCTTTTTCACTAATCTGCGTAGCCATCCCTCCACCAACACCTGTAGCTATACATTAAGTCTTAAAATCAGGTAGAGTGATTTCTCCTACTTTGTTTTTTTCAAAATTGTTTCAGCTACTCTGGTTCCTTTGCTTTTCAATACAAATGTTAAAATAATTTTGTCTATATCCACAAAAGATCATGCTGAGATTTTGATAGGAACTTTAATAAACCCATATGTCAATTTGGGAAGGATTAACGCCTTCCAATCTTTGAACACAATGTATTTCTCCATTTATTTAAAATCTCTGATTTCCTTTTTTGAGATAGGGTCTTGTTCTGTCACCAGGCTGGAGTACAGTGGCATGAACATGGCTCATGGCATACCTTCAGTCTCCTGGGCGCAAGCCATCTTCCCACCTCTGCCTCTCAAGTAGCTGGGACCACAGGTGCATGCCATTACACTGAGCTAATATTTTTTACTTTATTTTTTGTAGAGATGGGGTCTTGCCATGTTGCCCAGGCTGTTCTCCAACTCCTAGGCTCAAACAGTCCTCCTGCTTCAGTCTCCCGAAGTGCTGGAATTATAAACATGAGCCACCACACCCAGCCAAATCTTTGTTTTCTTTCATCAGCATTGTGTACTCTTCAGTATACAAATGTTGCATGTGTTTTGTTAGATTTGTACCTAATTATTTCACTTTGAGTTACTGTAAGTGATACTTTTAATTTCAATGTCCGTATGTTCATTGCTAGTATATGGAAATGTAGTTTATTTTTATATGTTTATGCGATATCCTATGACTTTGTTGAACTGTACTTATAGGAATGTTTTTGTAGATTCCTTGGGATTTTCTATATACAGAGTAATGTTATTTGCAAATAAGGGCAGGCTCTTTTTTTTCTTTTCTAATCTTTATGCCTTTTCCCCCCTTGCCTTATTGCAGTGGCTAGAATTTCCAGCACTATGAAAGCAGACATCCTTACCTTGGTTTTGGTATAGAGAGAATATATTTAGTATTCCATCAAAAAGAACAAGGTTGATCAGGTTTTTAGATCATCTTTATGAAGTTGAAGAATTTCTGCTCTTCTTTTTTGAGAATTCTTATCATAAGTGGATTTTGACTTCTTTTTTTCTGAGTTCCTTTCTCAGGAATAGGCTGACTTTTAATGTTTTTTCTGGATAGATTGATATGATCACATGATTTTTCTTATTGGAAAACAGAAAATGTTGAGTTACATTGGTTGATTTTCAAATTTTGAGCCAGCCTTCCTCTGTGGCATAAACCCCACTTGCTCATGGTATATAATTCTTTTTATATATTGCTGAATTATATTTGCTAATCTTTTGTTAGGAAATTTTGCATCTATATTCATGAATATTGGACTTTAGTTTTGGTTTTCTGTACCACTGTCTTTGTCTGGTTTTATTATCGATAATAATAGCTTCATAAAATGAATACTGAAGTGTTCCCTTCTCTTCTATTTTGTAGAGGAGATTGTGTAGAATTGCTGTTTATTCTTCAGATGTTTGATGGATTTCTCCAATGCAATCACCTGGGCCTGGAGATTTCTCTTTTGGAATTTTTAAAATTATGAACTCAATTACATTATTAGTTTTAAAAGGGTATTCAACTGACCTATTTCATATTGAGTATATTTTGGTAGTTTGTGCTTTTTGTGATACTGGACTACTACTTCTAAATTGTCAGATTTATATGTATAGAATTGTTTGTAGTATTTCCTTATTCTTCTGATATCTGCAGGGTATATAGTAATGATGCCTGTTTCATACTTGATGTTGGTAGTTTGTTTCATTGTTCTGTGTTTTTTTTTTTCTTTTTGATAATTGTTATTTTCAATTTCATTTATTTTAGTTCTTTTTTAAAATTTAATTGTAATTTTTAGTGTTACTTTTTTATGTTCTTTTTATGATTTTGTTCCTTCTGCTTGTTTTGGGTTTATTTTACTTGTTTTGGGTTTTCCACCTGAGAGATTAGATTATTGATTTGAGACCTTTTCTCTTTTCTAATGTAAGCATTTAATGTTATAAACTTGTCTCTCAGCATTGCTCTAGCTGTTTTGTAAACTTTGATTTTTTTTTTTTATTCTTCGGTTCGTCACAATTTAGAAATGTATTGTTTAATTTCATAATATTTGGAGTTTTTACTATTATCTTTCTGTTGCTGATTTCCAGTTTCATTCCATTTTGGTCAGAAAACACACTATATGATTTTAATTCTTTTAAATTTCTAGAGGTTTCTTTTATGGCTCAGGATATGGTCTATCTGAATACATACTGTGTGAGCAAATGAAAAAAATGTGTATTCTGCTGTTGTTGGGTGGTATATTCTATAAAATGTCAACTAGATCAAATTGGTTGGTGGTGTTGAGTTCTTTTGTATTCTTTCTGATTTTTTCTTCTGTCAGTTGTTGAGAGAGGGGTGTTGAAGTCTCTAACTATAACTGAATTTGTTTGTTTGCTTTTTCAGTACTATTAGTTTTTGCTTCACGTATTTTGCAATTCTATTATTTGGTGTATGCTCATTTAGGATTGCTGTGTCTTTTTGGTGAGTCAGCATGTTTATGATTACTTTATGTTGTCTCCGGTGATTTTTTTTGCTCCAAAGTCTACTTTATCTGATGTTAATATAGCCACATCTGCTTTCCTTTGATTATTGTTTGCATGATATGTCTTTTTCTTTCTTTCTTTTTTTTTTTTTTTATTATACTTTTAAGTTCTAGGGTACTTGTGCACAACGTGCAGGTCTGTTACATATGTATACATGTGCCATGTTGTTGTGCTGCACCCATTAACTCGTCATTTACATTAGGTATATCTCCTAATGCTATCCCTCCTGCCTCCTGCCATCCCACGACAGGCCCTGGTGTGTGATGTTCCCCACCCTGTGTACAAGTGTTCTTGTTCAGTTCCCACCTATGAGTGAGAACATGCAGTGTTTGGTTTTCTGTCCTTGCAATAGTTTGCTCAGAATGATGGTTTCCAGTATTCATCCATGTCCCTACAAAGGACATGAACTCATCCTTTTTTATGGCTGCATAGTATTCCATGGTGTATATGTGCCACATTTTCTTAATCCAGTC